AGGACTCTATAATGATTTTCAATCAATTTTTCTTGATGCTGTTAAAATAAATAAAAAGTTCATATTAATATTTAAACTTCTGTGTGTTTCAACAATGTTGACATTGTGAAATATATATGTTTTGAGGTGATTCTTTAAATAAAGTGGTATTGTCTCATAGTATTTCTTTTATTATCGCCTCATAAAAGCCTTTTGATGGCATAACATAAGTGCATCATATCGGTTTTCTATGCTTGTATCCATATGACAGTGTGTTTGCATATGTGTGTGTTGGCAGGCGGGAAGCAGACAGCTGGGAATTGTTACTCATTTTCCTGCTTTGCCCATTTATATCGAAGGCAGACATCTGATCCAATTAAAGTGCCTAATGTTTTTTGTTATTGTTTTTGGCATCACTGGATCTTCACTCCAAGCAAATAATTGTTGTGTCTCAAAAATTAAATGATACACTTTTAATTACACTAAGAAAGACACTCACATGACAAGCCTTAAAATACAGGCTACTCTTTTAGCCAGAGACTAACAACATAATTCATAATTATTTTCCTTTAAGAACAAAGACATGAATTCAGCATGATATTAGCCGTGTTTGTGTGTGTGTGGTGCAATTTACCACTTTCCTTGCAAAAGACATTGTACTCAACAGTGGCAGATCAGTCAAGTATCTCCAATATATTTGAAATATATTACTATCAGTTAAAAGGGGTTTATTTCTCCCTTTAGAGACATAACAGAAGCACTAGAGATGAATGTTACTATAAATGTTTGAAATGGCAACCACAGTTAGTCCATTTGTAATTGAGACACAGCGCTGGCCAATGTGAGCAGACACAACTCATCCAGACATTTTGTCCGATCCCCTACCATGATGGCTTATCCATTTGGAATTTAAGTTGGCTTTAAACACTTCTGTTAACTCAGTTAACACAGTTAACAGAAAATTCCAAATGGATAAGCCAATCAGACAGTGGAAATTTATATTAAGCTAAATTTCACAAACAATGCCAGCTATTAGAGCTTAATTTCCAATTACAACTAACAAAAGTTAAGTGCTAAAGGGCTTTGAATTTCCCATATTAAAAAAAAAAAAAAAAAACTATTTTATTTTACAGGTGGTTCATTTCCTGCATTTTGAATTACAGACACATTGTGTTTAGGGTTAACAGAAATTGTAATGAAATTACTGTATAATGTCCTAGCAGAAAATTATATTTTCCGTTTTTATTTTTTACAGTTTATCATGGACAGTGAAAATCCATTATGAATAACAATTTAAGAAGAAAAAATCTGTTTTAAATATATATAAAAAAAATCAATTACTTAGAATAACAATCATTAAAAACGATTTGAATGTTTTATACTCAAACCCCACAAGTTAGAATTATTAAATGGGTAAGCATTTAAATCCAATTATGTGGCAAGTGTCAAGCTGATTTTAATTTGTGTAATTGAGCATTGGAAAATAATACTGGTCAAATATATACACAGTGTTATTTGAATCTGTAATGTTTCTAAAGATACAATAATAACTCCCCCTGCTGTGTAAAATGAAAACTTCAGTCATGAGTGTCTGTAGGAAATTAAAGCTGATCAATCGTGGCTGTTACTACTCTGTGTGAACTTAATGCAAATTGTATACAATAACCTACTGTATGTAGACTGATACTATCTCACTAATATCCTCAAGCTCTGTAGTGATTGACTGGTTAACATTAGCTTACTTTGAGGGGAAAAAACAGTTTTTAAATGTAAGCACTGATGCAAACTATTTTCAATGGAATGTAGCTAAAACATGCTTAAAAAGTCGCTGAATATCACTAGATATTCATTTGTTCATTTGTGCAGCCATATCACCCTGTACCCAAGACTGGTTGCGCACTAAAGCTAAGCAGGGCTGAGCCTGGTTAGTACCTGGATGGGAGACCTTCTGAGAAAGTCAGGTTGCTGCTGGAAGAGGTGTTAGTGAGGCCAGCGCTCACCCTGTGGTCTGTGGGGGTCCTAATACACCAGTATAGTGATGGGGACACTATACTGTCAAAAAGCACTGTTCTTCGGATGAGACAAAAAATCCCAGGATGACTTTCGAAAGAGTAGGGGTGTAACCCCGGCATCCTGACCAAATTTGCCCAGTGGCCTCTGTCCATCATGACCTCCTAATCATCCCCATATACTGTATATACCAATTGGCTTCATCACTTTGTCTCCTCTCCATCAGTAAGCTCGTGTGTGGTGGGCGTTCTGGCGCAATACTTAATAATTTCTTATTTAGCGGTTTTTACATATTGTTTTAAAGGTACAAAATGATGGATTTTTCATCACCAGGGGTCGCTAACTTCTTTCAATAACTTACTCCACATTGAGCGGAATTAGTCATGGTTACTATTGCAGTATAGGTCAAACCTGGTGGAAACCGGGGATGGCGCGGAAATGACGCCATTGACTGGCGACTCCTCACTCCTGCTCACACGACCCGTTTCCTTAGATAAAATCACAATTTTCTCATGATTTACAAATAGTTTGAAACAATTGGGATATTGTAAGTAATCAACTAAACAAAATATATAACGTTGGCCTAGTGGTTTTTGGATATTTTACTGCAAAAATCCTGCATACTGTGCCTTTAAAGCAGCTTGGTACGTGTATCATCCGATCATTTAATTTCCAATTGAAAATGAAATAAGCAGAAATTACAGTAGAAAATGCCACATTTATTAGTTTTTTTGTTTCTTTAAAAAAACAAAACAAAAAAAAAAAAACGGAAAAATAGATTTTGGCTTGATTTTTCGTTTTTTAGTTCACAGGCAAAAAAATGAATACTGTAATCAAAACTGTAATCATAGCCGCGACCCACGTGAATGAGACAGATGATTGACATGATGAGGCAATTAAAAGGGCAAGATAACTTCTGTTAACAAGAAGGGGGAAAAAAGTATAATGAAAAAATGTATATAATGACTTTGACTTTTTTGTGTTTTATTGTTTTCAATAAAATAATAGTGAACGGTTGACCACTGAGCCTAAATGGCAATTTCCAAATATTTTTATTTGTTTGTTATAATGGGTATTTTGAGTCACCCGTCTTATTTTGGTAATATTTTTTTTTTCATAAAAATTAGCCTATCATCAAATGATTGGATGAGACACTGACCCTTCAGTGAAAGCAGGAATGTAATCCATACAGCCGCATTAAGAGAAAACAATGATGTCATAGTCCAGCTCAGTTCAGTTCTTATATAATGGTGTCAATGCTGGCAGATCAATAATAGTTTGAAATATTAAGTGTACTTGTACAACATTAAATTACTTTATACATTTATCAATGTTGAAAACAGTATTCAATTTATTTTAAAAAAACCAAACAAATATTTTGTAACATTATGTAACATTATGCCACTTTTGATCAATATAATGTGTGATTGATGAATAAAAGTATTAATTTCTTTTAAATAAAAACTTTTGAATAGTTTTGTACTACGGTGAGTTAAGGCAGATCTCAATGTTTTTATTGAATAAAGTTGACAGTAAAGTATAACTCTAAAAATGCTGGATTGTTATGTTTGGGTCAAATATGGACAAACTCAACTGTTGGGTTTAAAAATGTATGTAAAAATGTAAACCAACATGCAGTCGGGTTTGTTATTTGACCCAAACAATCATTTTTGTGTAGTGTAGGCTTAACATGGCAAGGATAAACTGACGTTTTGGTCTGTTTTTCATACAAGGCTGTAATAGCTTCAGGAGACTTTGTGTAATATAGTACACAAATAATATGGGCTATACTTTTATGATACTGTCAGTGTTTTTATGTCCTTATTGAATCTTGAAAGATTCAGTAGCTGGTCATCATCAAAGCAGGTGAAAGATTAATAAAAGCCATGTGAGTTTGGAAAAACATGAGCGTGAGTAGCCTACAGTACATGATGACATCATTTGTATTTTGAAATATCCCTTTATGATGTCTGAACCGAGCCTCTGGTCAAAGATGTACCGATGACAGAGAGAATGTATGGTACAAGATCAGAGAAGATATTTTGGATCAAGAGGGCAGGTGGTCAGATGGTGGGTGGTAGAAAGCTTAGCAGCTTCTCTGGCATGGTCTCAAAAAAGTCTGGATCTGAGTGTGTTGTGTATTTGACTGTGGGCTACTGATGTTGACCACTTTGTTTTAGAAGTAGATGAAGTTTTTTGGCAGTGCAACATCCTGGCTACACTGCTCAGGTAAAGAGGTAAAAAAGGACTTCATCTGAAACCTTCACTGCACAACTTACACAAACAAATAAAGCTAAGCAAGTAAAGAGGTAAAAAGGAAGTTGATGAGGAATGCAAATGGGATTCAGCTGAACCTTTCACTTCACTGCTTTCACAGACAAAATTATCTATCTATCTATCTATCTATCTATCTATCTATCTATCTATCTATCTATCTATCTATCTATCTATCTATCTATCTATCTATCTATCTATCTATCTATCTATCTATCTATCTATCTATCTATCTATTCTTCTCAAAAATTTAATCTTCTATAGGTTTGTTACACCTATAAAATAAAAAATAAAATAAAACAACTGATGATTAATCTCATGGTTTCTTTCTTCTTGTTTTAATGAAAACCAAAACACAGCCAATGTAACAACGGTTTGCCTAGGCCCTATATGTTTTATACAGAGTGGTGTATTGATAGGCTATACATAAACAGTTTAGTTGATAATCCTAATTTTTTTGAGTAAAATTAGGCCAGTGGTCAGCTCAACATAAAAACGCTTTGACGTTTTGCACTAGGACACAATATAAATTACCTATAGGCCTACCTTGAACATTAATAGTAGGCTACATAAGTTTCTGCATAAGATGTGATGACTGTTCTTGAATTATTTGATTTGACTGTTAGGAACCATTTTTGAGGTTTGGGTAGATTGTTTTGATTGATACCTGCAGTTTTTCTCCAAGCCAGTATGTGCCGCTAAACTCCAAATCACACGCAAGTTTCATTTGGGGAAGTTCTCGCGTGAACATCCTGCAGACACAGTGGATTGAAATTTCTAAAGCTCTCAGAGTTGTCAACAAATATCTGCGGAGCTGCATATCCACATTTACATCGAGTTGACCCAATAAAAACTTGCAGGCTGAAGAACCGTCTCATCTGTGCTCAAATAAGCACCGTTCAGTGCAAGCAGTGCGCTTGCTGAAAGTTTCTGGCTATTTTCTCTCATCTGTGACGCTTTAGCTTGTTAGCGTACCTCCCACAGCCGCCCGGATGCGGTGAAGCCCCGCAGCTTTAGCTTCAGCTCTGGCCTTCCGACGTGCACGAGCGGCTTCAATCATGTCAAGCACTCGGCAGCAGCAGTCCGGCGGTGCAGCGGGGTCCGTCCCCGGGACGAGCTCTGGGGGAATGAGCTGCAGCAGTGGCAGCGGAGCCGGTGGAGCGAACAGCGGGGGCAGCGGCGCTCAGAACGGGAACAGCTCTGGCAACGGAGTGTCCTCGCGGACTCTGGGATCGGTAGCCGAGGGACAGAGTTCTCGACTGGCTTCGTCAAGCAGGAAAAGACCCCTGTACAACGGTCTGATCAATCCCTATGAGGACAAGAGTAACGATTTTGTATGGTAAGTCCCTGCAGAGGTCTAAATCCAGCAGTAACGTCATCACTTTGTTTGTTTTGAACAATTTCTCACACGCGGGCTTAATTGCAAGTGTCTGGCAAATCCTGTGATTTACTCTGCACTTAATCATTTCATTCTATGGATGAAGCTATTGATAATTGTCAACATGGTGTGAAAGGGGAAATTTCCCCCATGAAGGAACGTACCGTCATGTTGTTTTGGACCTGTATGATTTCCCTTTTTTGTGTGTGTTGTGTACAAAATCAGATATTACACACTCCCGGGTTCACAGACAAGGTTTAAGCTAAGCCTAGTCTCAGACTAAAGTGCATGTTTGAGCTGTTTTAACTGAAAGAAAATTGTATTGGCATATCTTAAAATATGTCATTGCCATTTTTTTGTCTCAATATTTAATATTTTAGTAATAATTCAGAGCTACTTAGAGAGGCACTGATTGAACTAAGGCTTAATCCTGGCTTAATCTAAGCCCTGTCTGTGAAACCAGGCCATAATATTAGAAACTGACAATTTGTTGTCAAAGTTTTTCTTTTTTTTTTGTTAACAATCCCAGAAAGTTTAATGATTAACTTGTGTGTGTGTTCAAATTATTTTTATGCTTTAATTTACCCTTTCAGTCAAAATTATGCTGATAATATAATTCGTCATGTGTTTATTGAAAATCATTTTAAATAGTGGTCTCAAGACTTTTAAACTCTACTGTATTACTCAAAATAACAGTCAAGTCTCAGCTTTTTTTTTTTTTTTTTGATGTTTTGAAAAGGGAAGCAAGCCTCTCATGTCATGCTTTTTTGTTTGTTATTTCTCAACAGCCCTATATGTTTTGAGATGATAGAGGAAGCTCACATGACAAAGTGTGGACACAGTTTCTGGTGAGAAACACTTGTTCTCTAAACCAATCATTTATTATATCTTCCAGACTATTTATAGATTTTGATCAAATAATCATGTCTTCATTTCTATTCAGTTATAAATGTATACGACAGAGTTTGGAGGACAGCAACAGATGCCCAAAATGCAATTATATCATTGACAATGTGGATCAACTTTACCCCAACTTCTTAGGTATGTGTGTATGCTAATGCATGTCAGTTGTTGTTTTTTTGGATACTTAATGTCCTCAAACGTTATTTTTACTTACCACATAAAGTATTATGTATATATATATATATATATATATATATATATATATATATTTCTATGCAAATAAGGTTGATATTTTTTTCAGTGATTCTCTAATTGTTTTACAGTGAATGAACTGATCCTGAAACAAAAACAGAGATCTGAAGAGAAGCGTCTGAAACGAGATCATCCTGTACGTGCACCAAAGCTCACCATTTCTATTATGAGTGGAAACTTCTTAAACACATTTTATTAACTTTTGCAGATAATTTATAGCACAAAAAACGATGTCTTATCGTTTGTTTCTTATGCTGTTTACAGAATGGAACCAAATGGCAGGTTTTTCAAGATGTCCTTGGTGCAGATCAAGAGAATATGGATTTAGCCAATGTCAACTATATATTAGAGTACCTGTTGCAAAAAAAGAAACAACTGGAGGCGGTTGGTATACTTACAGATAATATTACTGTTGCTTGATGCAACACTTCTGGGTTCTTCAGACACTCTGGGAATAGCCGTTTTATATTAGCGTTTCATTCACATTCTACGGAAGCCTATTGCATTCACTTGAAGAAAAAAAAATCGACACTGTTTTTCTGAATTAACGACATGATTTCATAAAAACAGAGAAAACTATTTTTCGAGAAAAATATATCTCATAATTCTGAGATATAATGAACTCTTTAATTCATAAAAACAGCAAAGACTTTTCCATGAACAATTATCTTGTAATTCTGAGATAATTAACTCGTTAATTCAGAAAAACAGAGCAAAAACTCTTTTTCCATGAAAAAGTATCTCGTAATTCTGAGATAATAATTCAGAAAAACAGAGTAGATTTTGTTTCTTCAGGTGAATGCAATACGCATCCGTAACATTCAGCTGCAACTGACTGTAAATTGTGGTCTATGGTGTTGAAACACCTATGATTGTTGGAGATGGCTATTTTGTAGTTTTTGGTGGATAAAAATAAACTAAAATAAAAATAAAATAAAAATAAAATTTGACAGAAATCATATTCACTCACCCCCTAATGTGACAAACCACTGTTACACTTTAAATTCCAAAGTGTAACTGGTGTGAATACAAATATAAGGCCAAATAAACCACAAACCGGTATTTTACCACACTGCAGCATGGCACAGTTCTTGTAAAGGAATATACATGGGTCAAAATCTGCAGTTAATAAGTCTGATTGATGTCAAAGGTTAAATGTGATCTATTTATATAAACTTTTTATTAAAACTTAATCAGCATTAACAATCAGCATTATTATAGTGCTTAAAAGATATGTCGCTTAAAGCTGCTTGTGTGAAGAGCCTGGAAGCATTGCTGATTATCATCATAGGCCATAATAATTTGTTTTATAAAGGCACCCCCCCATCTTCTTCCTCATCTTTTGCTGATCTCTATTCACAGGAATCACAAGCTGCTCAGCGCCAGATCTTAATGGAATTCCTGAAAGAAGCCAGAAGAAATAAAAGAGAGGTTTAGCCTCCACATCTATTTTTAAAATGTTGAATAATGTAGAGTTGACAGCTATGAGGTCATTAACTCATGAAGTCTCCCTGTCTTTACTTCAACAGCAACTGGAGCAGTTACAAAAAGAACTGAACTTTTTGGAAGAGGATATCAAACGAGTTGAGGTCAGTTTAGCATGGTGACCCAGAATTGTCAGAGATGGGAACATTTTTTTTTTAATGGTCTAGCATATAGATGTTTTGTATTTTTCTAAGGACATTTTCACACCTGGGTCGTTTGGAGCATTTGTTTCTGGTGCATTTTTCTCCCTTAGTTTGGTTCATTTAGGCATTCATGAACACGGTTATTGTGCTTCAATCTGTACCAAAACAATCGATCCGAGACCGCCTGAACGAGGTGCGTCTGATTGAAAATGAACTCTGGGGCGGTTTGGTTGAGGGGAGAAAGCAATATCACCAAGCAGTATCGTAATTCATAATGGGAAATGTTATATCAATGCAGCAGCCAGTATCTGATTCTGTTTTTGTGGTAAAAAACCAAAGTCTTCATCTATGTAATTGCTCTTCTCCATGCATTGCAAGAAGCCCTTATTCCCGCTCTAAATGCATTCTAAATTTTATATATGTATATATATATATATAGTGTATATATATTTCAATATAATTATTCAATGTGTATAGGTTATCAGTCAGAGAGGGAATCAAGGCTATATTCATATAAGTGTTTGCGTGTTACAGATAGATCCACAATAAGCCGCAAAGTGAACTTTTTACTTGTTTGAACAGGTGAACTCACCAATAAGGGGACAATTTTACTCGCATGTGTTTTGCATAAACACATTTTGTTGCGCTTTGAAATGTTGCCCCGTGAAAGCGAACCGAACCAAGAAGAAAATGCTAGTCTCTTTTTCAGAACAAAGAAAACGATCTATGGGTGTGAAAAGATATATAAACATATATATGATTATATACCCCTGTTCGAAAGTTTAGAGCTGGGAATTTTTTTTAATGTTTTTGAAGGAAGTCTTATTTATTTTCTATTTGATCAAAAATACAGTAAAAAGAAGAATACAGTGAAATACCATAACTTTTTTCTATTTGAATATATATTTTAAAGTGTAATTTATTGCTATGGCGGTAAAGCTGAATTTTCAGCAGTCATTACTCCAGTCTTCAGTGTCACATGATCTTCAGAAATCATTCTTCTAATATCCTGACTTGCTGTTCAGGAAAGATTTGTTATCAATGTTGAAAAAAAGTTGTACTGCTGAATAATTTTGTGGAAATTGCGATATGTTTTTAACATCACTTTGATGAATAGAAAGTCCAAAGCAACAGCATTTATTTTAAATATTAAATATTTTGTAATATAATATTATAATTGTATACTGTCACTTATAATCAGTTTGTGTCTTTGCTGAATGGAAGTGTCACTGACCTTCAACTTTTGAACAGTAGTGTACATCTGATGCGTATGATTTCTTTTTTCTTTTTTTTTCTTTTTAAGGAAATGAGCGGTATGTACTCACCAGTGAGTGACATGGACCCCAATTTAGATAGTACTGTACCTCAGTTTGAAGCTCCCTCACCTGCACCGAGGTAAGACTGCGTTTTATACTGCTACTATGTTCTATACTTCTCACACATGAGATGCTAACCTAAGTATTGACATTTACGCTGTATTTTTGCATAAAAAAAAAAAAAAAATTCTAATCTTGTTTCTGTCTACAGCAGTAGCATAATAGACCCCCCAGAATACATTCAGCCCCCTTTTGGTGCAAGCTCGCAGGTAACTTGTTTTTTTTCTTCCCGGTTGCTGTTATAGCTGGTTAATATCCCTTGGAGTAATGCTGACATTCACTGTTTATTGTTATTACTTTTAGGGTAAAAGACAAACATGGTACAACAGCACTCTGGCATCACGGCGGAAGAGACTGACGGCACACTTTGAGGATCTAGAGCAGTGTTATTTCTCCAATAGGATGTCTCGCATAACGGGTTGGTTGATTCAAACCAATGTTATTTATTTAAAAAAAATATATATATATACTGTTATTATACAATCTATTTTCTTGGTAATAGATGACAGCAGGACTGTTAACCAGCTGGATGATTTCATGGAGTGTCTTTCAAAATTTACCCGTTACAACTCTGTGAGGCCTCTGGCCACCCTCTCCTATGCTAGTGACCTCTATAATGGCTCCAGTATTGTGTCCAGGTAAGGTTGCAAAGACTTAATTGAAGTGGGTTAAGACCACATGTTGTTGGACTTTAATCTTTGTTCGGTTCCTTTTCTGATGTAACCAGCAGAGGGTAGTATTGTATTACTGAATAACATCTGACTGAGCATTTTGAAGACTATTTTCCAAAAGTTGGAATTGTGGCCTTTTTCAAGGTGTGCTTTAATGTATATCCATTTTTTTTCCTTTGCTCTCTATCCTAATACTTCTCATTAATCAGTCATTAATTACAGTTGTCTAAACCTCAAGTACAACATAACACCTTGACAGTTCTTAGCTTATTTATTGTTGAAATGAATAACTTGTGGTTTAATGGTGAATTAGATGTTAATTGAGATCTACTACGGCTGATATATCGAGCGAGCGAGCGAGTGAGTGAGTGAGCAAGTAAGTCAGCTAGGCTGAATTGTTCGGCTTATTTATAAATTGCTTCGCAAAAAAACATTCATAAAAAATAAATAAATAAATTGGACTACAAATCTCGCTGTATGCTTGATATTTTGACTAAATACTGCACTTTTGATCTGTTCTTTTCATCAAAATATCCAGAAAAAAATGTAGCACTGTTTCCACAAAAATAATGAGCTGCACAACTGTTTTGATCATTGATAATAGAAAGTGTTACTTGCACATGTTAATGTTAAGCGGCATAGTGGAATGATTTCTGAATGTGTTCTATATATTCAAATAATTAATGAGCATAAGAGACTTTCAAGACCCTAAACTTTTAAACAATTTGTGTATATTTCATAGGGTACTTTCTTGTTCTGCTTTAACAGTGCAGGAAACACTATCTGAGTGTTTCAGAATTGTTTCTTCCGCATCAGTGAAAGATAGCAGACATTCAGGAACTGTTAACGAAACGTCATTATGAATCATTTGGTTCAGTTCTCAATTCCCAACCATAGAATTGGGCTTTTAAATATAATCAATTGGCTCAAACCAACTGTAATTTTCGTATTTAATGTAATGTTCAGTAATAAAACCTTGTTTGGCTTTCATCACACACACACACACACACACACATTTTTCAGACATCCCTGTATCTCCTAAGCGGCTGAGTGGCTGTTTGGATGCATTACAGCTCTGGTCTCTTTCAGTTTCCTTGTTTCAGTGGAAGTAGAGCAGATAATGAGCATGCCACAGTCAGGAGAACTCGCTGTGTTAACACTTGTTCTGTCTCCTCTCTTTTCCCCTCTTTTGCAGCATTGAGTTTGACCGCGACTGTGATTACTTTGCCATTGCCGGTGTCACTAAGAAAATTAAAGTGTTTGAATACGGCACTGTGATCCAGGATGCTGTGGACATTCATTATCCTGTCAACGAGATGACATGTAACTCCAAAATTAGGTATAAATAGTATCTGAAATCAGTGGTCTTGGTGGATTATGCAGTGGCATAGTGTGTCACATTTTCTTCTGTCTCATCTCTTTCCAGCTGTATCAGCTGGAGTAGCTATCACAAAAATCTGTTGGCTAGCAGTGACTATGAGGGGACTGTCATTCTTTGGGATGGGTTCACAGGTCAGAGGTCAAAGGTCTACCAGGTACCCTTATGTGTTCGGCTGCACCAGATGACATTCATTATTCTTATACCCCTTTCAGTAGGAGAGCAATTTGTTATATTTTCCTTATTAACTCTCAAACTAGTACAGATCTACATGTCATATTTATTTGTAAGAAACATAAATGTATTGCAAAAATAATAGTGCTGCTATTAATATACAGTTATTATTTTTATATTTTTTTCAAAATAAGTCTCTTATGCTCACCAAGGATGCATTTGTTTGATTTTAAATATACAGAACTAAACAGTAATATTGTAAAATATTAAAATAATACTTTTCTATTTGAATATAATAAATAATTCCTATGATAGAAAAGCATTTTAACAAAATATTCAGAACTTCAGAAATATACTGAAGATACATTTTAATATACTGATTTGGTGCTCAAGAAAAAATTATTTTATTATCATCAAAATTAAAACAGTTGTGCTTAATTTTTTTTTTTTTTTTGTGGAAACCATGGTAAAAAACATGCAGGTTTTTTGTATACATGCATTTATTGTGATCTTTATTCAATTTAATTTGTCCTTGCTCAATAAAAGTATTAATTTATTTAAAAAAAAAAAAAATCACACTGACCCCAAACGTTTTTGTATGTTTGTTTTGATTAATGATTAATTTTATTATTTTCTTCAATTAATGAGGTAAAAAAAAAATTCTGTATATAATATGAACACGTGTATACATAAACGTATTCTTAACAACGTGTAAATTAAAGGATATAAAATAATGAATATACATATGAATGTACTGTAGGCTATGCATTGTGAGAATAAACAGAAGCACAAACTATTTTTATCATTAGCTGTTGCATCCTTAAATATATTTACATTGAGCTGTGGGTTAATTTTGAATTTAATTTGCAATATAACACATGACGTGTGTAATTTGCAATTCCTTTAGACTTAATCTAAGTTAGATTTTGATTTTCACAGGAGCATGAAAAGCGGTGTTGGAGTGTCGATTTCAACCTCATGGATCCCAAGCTCTTAGCATCGGGATCTGATGACGCAAAAGGTATTTTTTACAACTGAACTGTTCCGATATTGTTATTTGATTTGGGATTCTTACAGAGATATTCTTCTATAAATACTTATGAATACACTCTTCATCCCAGTCAAGTTGTGGTCCACCAACCTGGACAATTCAGTAGCCAGCATTGAAGCGAAGGCCAATGTATGCTGTGTCAAGTTTAGTCCATCCTCTCGATATCACCTTGCCTTTGGTTGTGCAGGTACATAATTCATTTGAATCGATCTATTAAAAGTTTTACTTCCTGCAATAATCGTAAAACTTTTCAGCTCATTCTTATTCCTTTCCAGACCACTGTGTGCACTACTATGACCTGAGAAACACTAAGCAGCCCATCATGGTTTTCAAAGGCCACAGGAAAGCAGTGTCCTATGCCAAGTTTGTCAACGGAGAAGAAATTGTGTCTGCGTATGTATACATCGAAAACTCTTGTACTTTTTCTTTTATCAGTGGAAAATGCATGTCATGGTACCTACCTATATTAGTATCACAATACTTAAACAAAATATCAGCTTTTGCAACAGTAGCGGTTTACAATGTTACACAAATATTGGTTATACATTTCTTAATCTTTAAATCAACTAGAACCATGATCCAAACCATGCTGTTGCACCACTAATTACAAACAATTTTTGAGTTACTTTAACATTAAAGTTACATTTTGACATCCCCAGCTCAACGGACAGCCAGCTGAAACTCTGGAATGTGAACAAGCCTCATTGTTTGCGCTCCTTCAAAGGCCACATCAACGAGAAGAACTTTGTGGGTCTGGCATCTAATGGAGATTATGTAGCATGTGGTGAGTGGCACTATGAAAAATTGGTTAAAAAAAGGTTTACTTTGGCACAAAACAGGTTTGGTTTATAATCAAAGCTGTGATGATGCTGTTTGATTTAAACTTCCTCTGATCATTCAAATCAGTTTATTATTAAAGAAAAAGGAGAACAAATCAAACGTTTACATTGTAATACATATTTATGTGGTGTAAAAACCCTCAATAATGTTCTCACTTCATACCCCACCCACAGGAAGTGAAAACAACTCACTGTACTTGTACTACAAGGGGCTCTCTAAGACGCTGCTGACTTTCAAGTTTGACACTGTGAAGAGTGTGTTGGACAAGGACAAGAAAGAGGACGACACCAATGAATTTGTCAGTGCAGTGTGCTGGCGAGCTCTACCTGATGGGGTATGATTCGGTCTTATCTCACTTACATTTAGATGATAAATCACTCTTCTAGAACCGACAGTAGAACATGACCTGGTAGGGCCATGGGGGCATATGGAGACTGTAGAACTGAACTTGTTGGTACATCAAGGACAAGTAATGGCAGGGTAGAATAGCGCAGTGGGTAGGAAGAAGGTTGGTGTGCATCCGCTTTCAGAAATCCATGCTAATTAAACCCACACTCCTCTGCTTCGCTGTCTAAATAGTGTGGTTGGCTGTAAAAGGCATTCCTATAAAGTCATCTTTTAGCCCATGGCTAATTTACCATGTGAAGTGCTGTATTTATTAACCAAGAAGATTTATAATGTTTACTCTCCTCCTTTAGGAGGAGGACCAAACAGGGATGTCACGATTACGACATTTTGTGATTAATGATTTAATTGTCTTGGCTTTCTTTTAGAATATGTGGGGTAATTTCACAGGGTCACAATAATATGATAAACAATATGATGTGATTTTTTTTTTCTTTTTTTTTTCTTCCAATTTTTAATATATTATAACATAATATACTAATGTTTAAAATATATCTCTGATGTATTATAGCAATATAATGTTGATAATAATAATAATAATAATATATCATTATTATTATAGCGATATAATGTTGATAATAATAATAATAATAATAATTTATTATTATTATTATAGAACATGAGACTGCTATTATGGAACAGTGATAGATAGTGTGTGTGTATGTGTATTTGTTAACTTTGTATGATGTGTCTGTAAAATTTGCATAAAAAGCACATTTTTGGGCTGTTAAAGTTAAGTGAAACCAAAGTCTGCGATCCGGTGTTATGATTAGGGTTGGGTATCGAGTATCGATTGGAACCGGTACTAACTTTTCGTTTTTCCCGGAATCGTTCAAAAGTTAAAATTTCGATTCCTAGTTTCGATATTCACAGTCCGCCGAGCGGAAGAAGAAACCGCTGAACAACACCAACGAAGAAGCGTCTACCGGAAGTGTTGGCATAACCACGCGAGTCGAACATGAGTACCTTATGTCGGCGATCCAAAGTGTGGCTTCACTTTTCTAAAAATAACGAAATCTCGGCAAAATGCAAAATTTGTGACAAAAGGAGTATTTTTACAGAAGGAGTATTTCCTTCAGAAAGGATTATTTCCTTCAGAAAGGCTGTTGGTTAGCAAGGTTAGCTAAACTTTTTTGACCCTGCCTCTTAAAAGAATCGCAATCGAGAATCGTTAGGAACCGGAATCGAAACAAGGAATCGGAATCGGAGTCAGAATCGTTTAAATTCAAACGATACCCAACCCTAGTTATGATGGTATTATTTATGTAGCCTTATAGTGTGTATTACTATTATGAATTAGCTTTTATATTTTCAGTGTTTATTTTCATTTTAGGTCAAGTTTTAGGATTTTTTTTTTGTGCTTTTGTAATTATTTAAAAAAAATGTTTTTTTTTAAACGTTTCGATACAGCTTTATTTTTGTTTTAGTTTTAGCAATTCTAGTACTTCATCTTAAACTTGTTTCAGTTGCCAAGGCAAATTCGCTGACATTACCAGTTTATTTGGTGTGCTCGCACAACTCACTAGATACAAAAATTAGCCATTTCTATTTTCACTTATAATTCATTATATTTTCTTATGTGAATGCTACTATGCCATTAAAATGGAAATGCACAGTAATTGTGGTATCCCAAAGAATTAACATGACCATAATTTTGATAAAGCCTCATCAGCTCAGAAATCTTAGAAAATACAAAATGTGGATTCATGCTATGCCTGATTTTTCAGCTGAAACCCCCATGTAAACATTTACGTCTACTTCCAGATCCCTTGTGTATTACGTACCTTTTATACTTGACATTTTCCCAGAGAAAAAAAAAAAAAAACCCACAATAATTGTGTGCAAAACCAATGTGCTGACCTGACTGAATTTCTGCTTAGTGTCTTGGTCTTAATTAATTGCCTTTCTCATCCGAATATAAATTATGTAGAAGTAAAATGTCAAGGCCTTTTTGTGAACGTATAACAATAATGAAGTGCAAACTGAGACTGACCTGGATGGTTTATGCATATCCCTGACAGCCAAAAACATTGTCAGACCACCTTCCCACTCGAGATTCAGTCAAATAATGTTTGTCACATTCTACCAATGTACTTTCTCTGTTTTGATTCTCAGGAGTCAAATGTGCTGATTGCAGCCAACAGTCAAGGAACAATCAAGGTGAGTTGTACTGCAAAACAAACTGAATAGCTACACACAGGTCGATATATTCACTGCTGAGTGCTCTATTACTAAAAGCAGGAGGATCTGTAGTTACATTCACTCAGTTTTGGAATATTGCATCCATTTCTCAAAACTCTAAATTGATACTAAGCATGAAATGTGCCATATAAATGCCCCCCCTCCCCATTTCTGAAGGTACTTGAGCTAGTCTGAAGGTCCACTCAAATCAGTCGTCGGAGCCTACTAAAGAACTGTTGCTTCACTGGCGGGTTGATGGAAGGATGCTAAAGCTGGACAAAACTGAAGCAAACATTTCCAAGGAAACAACCAGCAGAAATGGTTTTTATCAGCATTATATTTGTAAAAGACTTGATCATTCTGCATCGTCAAACTATCGCTGTATGTGAAATGTCGAGCTGTTTGTGCTGACAGGGAGATGAGTGTGAATGCCTTTTTGAATAAATTGTTGAATAAATGTATTAACAAGTTATTGTTGAATAACTGAACATCGCTAAATGTGGAGGGGAAGAAACCTTCTCAAGCGAAACTGGTTTAAAACCTTTACTAGAGGTGATTCTAGCCAGAACAAGAGCTATGAGGCGTTTTTGAGGCCAAAGCACAAGACCATAACACAATGAAATACGTCTTGTTTTATAAATTAGCTGTCTTTGATTATTTTGAGCCTGTTGTATCCATTTACTTGTTTTCGTTTTTTGATAAACTGCGTCTGTTTATCCATAAGATATGTGTTGGCATATTCCGATGGTCTCCCCAAATTAAATTACAGGACTTTTCTTTAGCTTTTCTGTTGGTTATGTGGATGTCTATATCAATGGTATTTTTTTTTTAGGTATTTAGAATATACTCTTAATTTGGTGTTTACCACATTTTGAAATGATTTCATTATCGTAAAGTCCCAGGAAGTCATATACTCATCAGACCACCTTTGCATGAGGTTCTTCTCAGTTTTTTCCAAGTGTTTATTCACTGATGCGGAGGGCTCTTCCACATGGTCACAACTGATCAAACATGGACTAAATTATAACTCATCGAGGCTTAATGACACTATGTATACTTCATTGGGATTATTTAACACCACCCATAACATTGCTGCTCTTTCTTCTTCTTGTACAAGTGTTATTTATTTTAATAATTTATAGAAATTGTGTGAACATTGGACCCATAATAGCCTTTAGGTTTCAAGCTTTATTCGTAAGTCCTCTGTTGCATCTCAGTAATTCTGTTTGTTTATTTACTCATTTTAACTTTCATTTGAATGAATAAATGATTTTCTCCCCTTTGGTTACGTTCTGTGTTTATCTTTGCATTTATGCGTTAGAATTGTATTTAGACTGTAATATTAGACAATATGAGTTTTAAACACTTTCTATTGCAGACAGAGTTGCATCAGGGTAAGTTTGCTGTCTACTCTCTCCACTGTATTATATTTTAAAGTAGTTTCCTGGCTGTGTAGAAGTCGAGCAGTGACAATATTAGAAGATTATTGCATTTGCTGTTATGGGTTTTGGTTGTTCTTGCTATGCAGAACATTTTATATCACAGTCATGTCTTAATGTCTTAAACTAAAAAAAAAAATGTAAAGATTAAATCATACTAGTTTGTTTTCTTTCATCACAATGAATTAAGTATGTATAGACATTTTTTGTGCAGTTTATTCTAACCTCAGAATAGTCAGGTTTTTTTTTTTTTTTCTCTAAGTAAAATGTTTCAAAGTAAATATTTTTTGGGAGTATATCATTTTTTATTTGGTTTTCTTATGTTCTATCACTTCCCATCCTCTAAGGATTATATAAGATTCCTTTAAGAAACGACAGATCCAGAGTTTAACACATTCATCCTGTCAGGATGAAATTACATAAATCGCATGACAATATCAAAATATTAAAAGGTGGTTAAAAAAAATATCAAAACTTACATTTAGTTCTTGATGCCCTCATGTAAGTGAACTCTAGAAATACCACCTTAAATTACAAAATATGCAAATTAATTCTGCAAAAGACAAAAAAGGAAATTAGTAACCAGTTGTGGCCCACAGCCCAGACTTGAGTCCAGGTATTACTTGAAAATTACCCTGTGCTGGCACTCTTATATCTAATTGGCAGTTGAAGCAAATTTGCTCTGATTAATGTGCTGTGATTTCCTCAATCTGAAATGAACCAATACTTCTGACTTTAATCAATACTAATGATGATCAAGTAGAAACTTGTTTTATTAATGAGAATTAATTGTTCGAAAATTAATATTTATAAATGTGTTTTGAGATGTTAAAGGGACCATTTAATTGTGTTCACAATTGGTATAGAAGCCCGTTTCTAACCCAGACTTAAAAAAACAAAAAACAAACAAACATGTAATTTCGAGAAACCTTAAACCAAGATAAGTCTGATTGTGAGATATGAAACCACATTATAAATCATATCACAAGTCAAATTGTGAGAGATGGTCAGGTTATCTTAAACTTGTACAAAAAGAAGTTGGCAATAGCGATATAACGCCCAGGCGCAGACGCCGCCCACGCTGCTGAGAGCGACATTGAGATAAACATGTTTGTTTTCTCAAACAACAAAATGAACGCACAACAAAACTGACCGCGGTGAGAAAACATCAGTTAAGAAAGCATCTGATCAAAGCGATGTGGATGTTTGCACCAGCTCTGATATCATGTCGTCGACAGATGAGGTAATTAACTCTTATGGTTCATTTATAGCTAAGCCCTGATACTGTGTAACTGACTATCTGGCAATGTGAGAATATAGTTTGAAATCGAATTAATCAGCTATAGTATACAGACTTTGACATTCAAATTGTGGCATTATCCTGAAGCATTAATTTCAAAAGCCTGAATTGTTGTTGACCTCATTGAATCCTTACAGATTAGCATTGTTTTGTGTATGTCTGCTATACAGAAAACTATTTATTTGAGTTTGTATTACGTAGTTCGTGTTGTGCTGTGTGTTGTGCTGTGCGTATTGGACTCAATCTTTAAGCCAAGGTTAGCTATGTTGCTAATTTAGAACCGAAAAGAGGCTCTGTAAACTTCACATCCTTTTTATTTTCTCGGCAAAAACGTCCCGAGTCCTCCACATAATATCCGTCTACAGACTGACAATCTATGAATGGTTTTTATTTTTTGTTTTTTACTTCGGTGAAATCTTTTCACATTTGCAATATAAAGCTATTATTAGCCTAATCAATAGTCCATTTAAATACATTTTGGACATACAAAGTAACAATTTAAGATATAATGTATACTTTTGAGAGGAAAGGTCACATTGTGACATTTAAAGGCCCTTGATGTATTGATGATTAAAGTCACATTTTAAGACCGCCACATCTTGAGTTATAAAGTCAGCTTAAAAGTCTCAATTTTACATATAATGTCAGATTAATGCAATTTGAGAAATCACAATTACCTTTTTCCTTTACTCTGAGGCATAAACAACCGTACCAAGGAATTTTACGAGGAACAAAAAACAAGACAAAAAAAAATTAAGGGTGGGGAGTAAATACTTTGTAAGGTTACTTAATGTCTAAAAAGCCATTCAGGTCAAGTCTAATAAGATATCAATCAGTTTAGAGTATGTACAGTTTTTCCCCCAGTTACAGTACTGTATGTTCATTGCCTGTAGCTCAGCTCCAAGATCAGTGATGATTTAAAAAAAAAAAAAAAACACCTTGGACAAAAATATTGCAGTACATCAGTCATAGTAAAGTGCATTAATATTAGAGCCAGACCGATATATCGGCAGGCCGATATTATCGGCCGATATTAGGCATTTTACAAACTATCGGTATTGGCAGTTATAATGGCAGATGAATATTTCAAAAATAAAATAAAAATGAATGAAACGCGCTTCAACCATGTCATGTTGGAGTGTTGGAGTTGTATAAGTTTGTCCACCAGAGGGCACTCTACACCGTCCCTGGCCTGTTGGCAACACTCGTTTATAACGCGCAACACATTCTAGCTAACCACAAAGCTAGCTAACGCCACTATCATCAGTGGAATTTAATGAGCTTTGTTAATTAATTAATGAGCTTTGGTTCCTCCTCTGTTCTGTTGCGACAATAAAAGAATCAAATTTCTTTTTAAAATGCATTATCATATTATTTGAATTAAAACTCCTACATAACTACAAATAACTAATGTTAGGGAAATCTGTTAATGTTTTGTTGTGGGTTCCTGAAAAAAAATAAAATAAAAAATATCGGCCGATATATCGGAATATCGGATTTTAAAACCAACAAATATTTGTATCAGTATCGGCCTTCAGAATCCTTTATCGGTCGGGCTCTAATTAATATTACATAACCTATTTGGTCATGATACTGGTACATGGGTGCTTTTTAAACTCTCCCTCAGTCGTGTTATTCTCTTACAATACAAGTTTTTATTTTATTTTGTGGACTCTCTCCGCGAGGACCCATGTCTTGAGGCTCTCTTTAGGTTGCTTTGATGTGGACTGTGGAGGTTTAGTGAGTCTCCAGTACTCCTAGTTAGACCACATCATTATCGGAACCCAAAGAAAGAAGATTTGGAAGCTTCCTGATGCATGGAGAAATCTGTTGAGTTTGGCCAGTTTGTTTATTTGTTAAAGTTGGAATGAAATGGAAGCTGCTTTAGTAATTTTCTTCTCTATGATATTTATCCAAATGAAATGACTTCTCAAGCAAGAAAATCCACCACGTGGGCATTCTTACGATTTTATTTCACGATTTTGTTTTTATTTTATTTTATTTATCTTTTTTTTTTAATCATCACTGATCTTGTAGCTGAACTACAGGCAATGAACATACTGTAACTGGGGGAAAAAAACTCTACATACTCTAAACTGATCGATATCTTATTAGACTTGACCTTTAAATGGCTGGTTAGACATTCAGTACCCTTACAAAGTATTTACCCCCACCCTTCTTTTTTTTTTTTTTTGGTCTTTTCTTTCTTGCAAAACTCCTTGGTAAGATCATTACAAATGCTGAGCTATTCAAAATGAATAAGCTTATTCAATTTAAAGAGTGGAACTATTTAGACAGAATAAATGAAAATCAGTCTGCATCATGTATTGCACATATTCAGGCAACTCGCACCAATTACTGCAGAAACTTAGATGGGTATTTTTAAATCAAGTTGATTTCTTTTTGAATTGTTTTAAACTTCTAATTCGTGACTGGCGTTTTGTTGTGCTTTTGTTGTATCCTCTGTGCTTCCGCATTCCACTGTAAAACGATGCGTTTGGTCGTCTGATGGAAGCTAATTAGCTTAGTCTTTTAAAGTTTTAAAGAAAATATTTTTCTTACATGAACGCATTGTTTCACTTCAGAAGGACTTTATAAACACCCCCTGTGTTGTGTAGAGCACTTTTATCATGGATGGGTGCACTTTGATGGACTTAAAAACAGAAACAACCATTCACTGCTATTATAAAACTGGGAAGAGCCAGGACATTTTTTTTTTTTTTTTTTAATATAACTTTGATTATATTCGTATGAAAGTAGAAAGTCATATACACCTAGGATTGCATGAGGGTGTGTAAGTCGTGGGCTAATTTTCATTTTTGGGTGAACTAACCCATTAACTATTATTATCAAATAAGCAAAATAAAATAAATGCACACTGACCCAGTAGCAGGCAGCACTGTTCCTGGGGGAACATCAAGAGTGCGTCTCAAACAGCTCTCTAGCTGTATCATATCATGTAGCCTACACAAATTAGGGCACTGGTAAAACCTCACTATACTTTGGGACACTGATGGCTCTATTACCAGTGACATGGTAACATGTGCATGAATGTTTAAATTGGCAAGTTTAGTTTAAACACAGATAGCAATGTGGGCTGTTCAGGTCTCGCCTGTGCTCGCGCTAACAACACCCGGGTGATGAGTGTGTAAATCACATGTCAAGCATACAGCACTCGCATTGAACAAAGTTTACAATGAGTGACCGGTTTGTTCACGTTTTTTGATTATCACTCTTGTAATGTATTTCTTGGGAGCCAGCATTTGTACATCCATCGACAGAAGCATACATTAGCAGATCTGTTTGTTTTACTCGTTACGCAGCAATCTAAAGTGACTTGACAGTTTGTCCCACCCTCGCACCAGAAAACATATAATTAGTGGAGTGATTTTTTTTTTTTAAATAATGGTTTGCACAGAATAATCATTTATAATAAAATACTGCAATATTCCATAAAACAATAAGAATTGCTCATTTTGAGTTCATAGTGACTTTAAAAAGCACTTTCATGTTGTCAAAATGACACCATGTCATTAAACAGAGCTTAGA